TTGTGATGAGTGGGACAACATTCACTGTAGAAGCTGCCACAAGAAGATACTAAAAGTAAAACTGAAGAATAAAAACAAAAATAAAAAAGGATAGGTTAGGGGGGGAAACAAACAAAAAAAAAAACAACTTTGACAAAGTAAAGATGGAAAGGGAGATAAAAATGTTTGAAATAGCTTGACCAAGAGAGAGGCAGCAGGGCACTCAGACTGATGATGACAAATAACTCCTCTCAGTCCATTCTCACCCTCGTAGCAGAGCTACAGGAGAAAGAACAACATGTTCTTTTTTAACATCATCTGAACGACTGGTAATGGCATTTCGGTGTACGAGGGAATGGTCAGGAGATGTCTGGAGGAGACTAAAACGCTCTTTACTCCGGCGTCGAGTTGCACAGCTGCTTGCCACAAGCATGCGTTCACTCTATGACACTGCATAAGCCTATCTTCTTGCAGCAGCCGAATTAATTAGTGAGGACTAATCTTTGGGTTTATTCGCCTCTAATGAACATTTGCATATTTGGATTTGGCCTTTATGCCGGTGCGCACACTCGAATTTCACATATGCCCGGTCACGCTCGTGCGCGCACGCACACAAGCAAATTTAAAATAACCTTCCAAGTTGTGATTTATTGAGAGGGATTTATGTGCTTATTAGCATAATAAGTGAACGAGGAAAAAGCAGAGTGAAAATAAAACCCTCTTTGATGCGTTGAAATGAAAATCGGTAACAGGGTGAAACACTCGTTTACTACTTTTATGGTTGCGGTAATTATACCTTTGTACAAAAAAAGACTCTCTATTTTTATTATGAGCTAATCTTTTGCGTCTAAGATGAGCATTTGCACTGCAAAAAGTACTTTTGTAAAGTTTCAGAGCTCATCATAGCACAGAAACGGCACTGGTGCCTGATTAAGCTCAGCCTTGATATTCTGAAGCCTTCAGACAAAGTTTTATGCTCATCCTATTAGATCCCAGTGCTGCATTTGATACAAGTCACTACAATTTTTCTTTAGAAAGGGACCAGCAGCACCTGGCAGATTTAAATCGTATTGGTCTCAGAGATTTTACTGTTTAAATGTCAATGACGAATCTTTATCATGCGTCACTGAAAAAAAAAACGGCAACCTTTTTTGTCTTACCATCTCGCATGAAATCAGTCAGTTCACAAGTTTACATACGTTTCCACGGTATTTGGTAGAATTGCCTTCTAAACTTGATGACCTAGATTAAACATGATCAGAGGCTGCAATCATTGATTTGTGAACACACTGCCTGATGATGTGAGAAGCTGCAGCTCTGAGTTTTCATGTCCAACTTGGGGGGGAAAAAAAGTCTAAAACTTCTCAAATATGTAATCATTAATCGTGTGACTTTTTTTATGCGTCAGTGATTAAGCCTGCGTACGTGTTTGTCTGCGTACTGTGATTAGAAAGTAACCTGCAGTGTTATAGTTTCTCTTTTATTTCATTATTTTGTCTCCGTCGCCGTAACCCGTCAAGGTACTGCAGAGACGATTTAGTTCAAACTGTACAGCGCATCAAACGTTGACATTTATGTTTTAGCGATCCATTTTTAAGTAAAGGTTTATGACTAAGGTCGATGAAACCAATTAGTTAAGACTCCAAGCATGCCTTGGAGACGTGCAGTAGAACTCCAGGTGACTTCATTTTCTACTTTTCCCCTAAAACAAAACAAGTCGTCATCGT